CTGGGAAACAAGATGGTTGAATGGGTGGTGAATCAGAGAATGACGCTGGCTAAACGACACAGAACCGGGAAGTCAGCCCACTCACACCTGTAACCTTCACCTTGAGCAATCAATGCCTTTTGAACAGACAGATGCACACAATAAGCTCCTGGGAACATGAGAATGTCCAGGCGAATCTACAGCCTACCTCAGTGGGAGGAAATTTTCACTTTGAAGGAAATAGAAGTGAAGGATTGTGGGAAGATTCCAAGATGAGAGGGACTTAAAGTGCACTCTGTTTCAGAGCTTTGTCACATTGCTTCTGTCACGGTAGGAAGTCATTGCTCATTCAGCGGGGTTTTATTCTCCATACGGAAATTGCTATTCCTTCCAATCCTGTGTGAAGTCACTGGGAGACCATTTTTCTCTCCTTTAAAGGCCATTTTGCAGAAGATATTTGCATCTGAAGATTTTAGTGAAAGGATAGTAAGAGGATTACTTGAATTATTAATAAGGAGATTGAAAGGTAACTTTTCTGAGCATATCATGTCCCATCTGGATGGGACTATTGTCATGGCATTACTTAAACTGGATAATTCTGAATCTGAGAAATGCCCACTCATCCAAATTTTGCTTGGTTGTTTCTAAGGCGATGGAGAAAGGCATGTGTCTATGAACAGGAATGAAGGAAATGGAGAGTGCTGCTATCATTCTGGGCAGTAATTAGTAAGAGGCTGAGAACAGAGAACTTGAGAGGCTCAGCACAGGATGGGTGGAGGGGAGATTTCTCTTCCTGGGAGGCCAGGTGTCATCTTGATCTAGATTTGAAGTTCTCTGTTGCCTGGAGCATTTCCATGGGAGTGGAAGGAGAACTGGGAGTGGTGTTTGCCAAGGGAAGTCGGGCAAAAAGGGAAGCAGACAGAGATTCTAGAAAGGATCTTGTCCTGGATAGCAATAAAATACTTCAGATTACTCTTGGATTTAATTACCAATTATTTATGAATCTCCTGTAGTCTTTTACTTGGTTTTAATTTAAGCTACTTTTCAGAAGAGTCTCTCTCATTACTGGCATATTTGACCCAAATGTCATGCAATTACTTAAGCTTAATTTTACTGGGACATTTGAGAGACCCACATTTGCCATCTCATGGCCATGTAAGCCACTGAGGCATGCAAGATCAGCACCTGTTGGCCCAGAGTTGTGCAAGACTGTCTTCTCAGTGGACCAAGAATCAGCTCCTATCTCCTAAGGTGACTCATTACTCTTTCTTGGCAAGAGTCTCCACCTGGGTATAGACAGTACTCTTCTTCGTCATTTCACATTTACTTCCTACTGACAATATAGCAAATTATCTGGGTTTCTCAAATTTTGTAACTTAGTTTTAAAATTACTTCTCATTTTGATTCATTATTATTGCTGTTCTTACCTTTAAAATTAAGAAAATGACAAGGGGAAATAATGTTTCATCTCATTTTTCTACATTATTTTTTTAGTTGTGAATTTGCAAAATGAAAGAAAGGACATTAAAAAAAGTATTAAAGGCATTAAATAAAAGATAGGGTACTAAAAAAAAGGGCAGTCCAATAAACTTCTATGCTTTTGATATCTTATGATTTAAAATTAATTTTATTATAGGAGGTATCCAGTGATAACTATATTAAAAATGAATGTCATATTTTAAATAAATAATTTGCATAGGAAAAATAATAGCAATTTTAACTTATCTCCAAGCATATTTGTTATAATTATAACTGCCTATGAAGATTCTTCCCTAGATTATAAACATTCATTGCTCTTTGTTAAGATGTAGACTACTACACTCATGATGGACAAGTATATGCTCTAGCAAAACAGGAAATTCCAAGATAATTACTACATCCAATTATTATCCAGCATTCATATTGCACTGAGAATTTAGCAGTACTGATAAAAAATGTCCTAAATATGCTTTCTTACAGTGTTTCTGGAATGAATTCTTAAAACTTTTATTTTGTAGAAATAAGAATAGAAACAGAGTAACTATCATATAATCATAGTCAATGAGATTAACAGTCTCCTCATCTTCACAGCACAGCTGAAACAACCAGAAGATGATTATCTTCTAGGGTTAGTTAGTTAGATTATCTTATGGGCTATAATAATCAGGTTAGACAAAGCTGAAGTCATTGAAAACTGGGACTACTAAAAAAAAGAAAAACACTTTAAAGATTTTTATTCCTTAACTATTATGGGAAGCTATATAAAGGCATAAACAGGTTGATTAGTGAAGTTACTCATTAATAAGTTATGAGCTTATTAAATCACAAAAAGTGATAATTCTGCAACTGTAGTTAATAATCCTTTTTACAGATTGAGTGGATGGTTCTCCATCTTTTCCAGAATGAAATTCAGCTGATTGGCCTAGTATGACATTGGGACTATCTTGCTAACTTAATTCCCAGCCACAGGGTTTCTTCCATGCAGGGATTTGAAGTTTCACCTTTGGGTTTCCTTGACTGAAGAAGCCCTCATGAGGCTCTTAGAACTGAACTAGTGCTGCTGTTATTGACTTTGACTGGGACACACTTCTCCCTGCCCATTTCCCTCTGCTTTTTGTTCATAGTTCTGAGGTCCAAAATCAAAGCTCCTGGCTGATTTGGTTTCTTGCTTTCAGCAGGCTTTTTCCTGTGTCTACACACCGGGAGCTGGACTCTGGTGTAGCTTCTCATGAGGACAATAATCTCATCAACTCTGAGTCCCAATCTTCTCTTTTAACCTTAATTATTTCATAGTAGGCTCTGTCTTTAAAATATAGCCATGTTGGAGTTAGAGCTTCAATGAAAACTTTGAAGGGACACACTTCAATCAGAAACAGAAGCTAAATGTCTAAATTGATCACAGGCAAAAAGGAGAGAGAAAAAAAAACTTCACAGAGATTTGCTTTTACAGGCTCAAAAAAGGCTGGTGGTCTGTTGACAACTTTGAATTGAGCCTTAAAGCCAGGTGGGGACTGAAGAGGAAGGAGTCGCCCAGAGGAGGAAAGACCAACAAAAAATTGAAAACTTCAGTTTTCTGAAGAAAAACTTCTTCATACTTGAAGGAGTCGCCCAGAGGAGGAAAGACCAACAAAAAATTGAAAACTTCAGTTTTCTGAAGAAAAACTTCTTCATACTTCATGTATGACGTGCTCTGTAACTACCCAGTGAACTTCAGCCAAGCCCACATTTCTTTGCCTCTACCTGCTTTTCAGATAGTAAAATTTAACTAGTTTGTTTTCAACCCTGGTTCCCCAAACCTAAAATCCTCATCTCTTTTAATAGGGGAGGTTGATTTGAGTTAACTCCTTGCCAATTAATTCTCAAATAAAGTTGATTTTTCAAATAACTGATGTCATTTCTTGCTTTATACACAACTCAATGACTTCATTGCTCAGTTACAAGTCCACAGCATCAGCTATATTACAGGGAAACCATTAAGGGAAACCATTATTTACTCATGCTTTTAGAGGCTGTCTGGGACCAGGAGGAGAATTTGAGAGACTTTCCTTAAGGTAGAGAAGCTTAGGTTTGGAGAATGGAAAGGGAAAAGTGTTGGAGTGGATCAACCTTTGGAAAGTCTTCTGTAAGATCAGAGGACACTTGTTTAAAGAGGACTCCAGGGTGAGATAGGTCTCTGGTCTCTTGGATGGAACTGAGAAATTTAGTATTTGAGTCCTGAGTAACGAGGCCTTTGGGATTCAGGAAAGCCCAGGTATATATTTAGGCAAGCACAAAGATGTCCGGAGATTGTGGAGGAGGGGATATGAATGCTGGTTTCAGCACTTTCCCTATTTAATCTGGATTGCCTGAGCATTTTGACTTTGGAATTTGTAACTCTACTTTGAGGATCAGAGACATATATAGAAAAGAGTTCCTGTTGAATTCAGCAAGTGGGGGCTTAGGAGGCACAAAATTCAGTCTAGAGAGAAATAGAAGAATATACCCTTAATATGGCCAAGTACTATTAAAAGACACTACTGTACTGGTCTATGTTGGTTGCCTTATTACTTCTTAGACTTGTTTAGGGCAGGAGTGGATTTGATGAGTCTGTTTTCCTTCAGCCCCTCACACATGCCTGGTAAATTCTGGAGACTGACATGAGACTTATTTGTTGAATGGTAGTGAATTTCTAAGCCTCATTATGGAGTAGAGGTGTGGTAAGTTTTTCCTTTTCACACAAATTAAAAAAATTGTATTTTAGTATAATTACCATGTAATTACTTAAGCAATAATAAGAACAACAAATACTTAGAAGGGTCATATAAGGCAACAAAATTGCCAGTGAAGAATACTCAGTGTTAATCATTCATATTTCGCATATCTAAAAATAATCAGTTATCAGAATTTTTGGTATACCAAATGCCAGTTTACTCATGCCACTTGGGATTGTTTTCCTTCCGTCATTTATCTTACATATAAGTCAAATTTGGACAGAATACATATACTTTGTACTGACAGAACACACTAGCCAGCATTTGATCAGAAGTGGAAGGGAGGATCTTCTAATTCAATCACGAGTGTTCCTGGCAACCAGGAGTGACCCAGTGGGGCAGGGAGCCCAGACAGCAGATTAGCGTTCTCTAGTTGGGATATAGGCACAATTTCCGAAAGGGGGACGCCCGGGAAGATCAGGATTGAAGTGCTGCTTTGAGGGCTGGGTGGGGCAGCAGCGCCTCGGGGTAAACAAGGGGCGTGGGAAAGTGGGCCGAGGGTGGGTCTGAGACCGCTTTCCTGCAAGCAAATGCCCGAGCCGGCGCCTGGAAGCGGGGGGCAGGCTCAGGCAGCTCCCCAGCATCTCCAGCGGTGATAAAACTTGAGAAATAACTAGGAGGGGCCGTTCAGCTTCTTTGGGTCCAATCCCGTTGCAGGAACGAGCAAGATTCCAGGCAGACAAGCCTGAGAGTGTCCAGGGTGTCTTAAAAACCAACGCCTGCGAGAAAGATCGCTCCGCGCGTAGCTGCACCTCCAGCCGCGTTGCCTCTCGGTACCTGCCCCGCGCCGGGATGGCTGCCGCCGGCTTCCAGGGCTGCTTGCACCGGGCCCTCTGCGGGCAGCTGCTGCTAACCCTCTTGGTAAGGGGGGGTTGAAGGTGTGTGTGTGTTGGGAGGGGGGTTGTGTGGGGGCGGGAACGGGTGGGCTGGGTGCAGCCACACGCCTAAAGCCGGGATGGGGAAGGGTGGATTCGCCCTGATGCCGCACTGGGAGCCCTAGGGGAGAAACGAACCGAAGGGTGACGTCCTGGGCGCAGTTCACAACTACGGGGTGGGGAGGATCCAGAATTCGCGAGTGAGGGACGAGGACAGACGTGAGCCTAGGAGGAACAGACTCCGGAGTGCGCTTTTGCTTAGTGACAATACGTTTGCTAATTTGAATTACGGTGGAGCTCCTCCTTGCTTTCAGGACTAGCGAGGGCGCTGAGGGCGCATTTGGAGGAAAGAAACTGAGTGAGAAACATATATGTGAGATGAAGTTCAAGGGGCTCCTTTCTAAACCCTGGATCCCGTCTGAGCTCTGATGGGGACCTCGGGGAGCGGCGCCTTGGCTGGAAATACCTCTGAAAAAAGGGCTTCCAGATTTTGCTTCCCTTAGTTTATTCATTCAGGTTACCCAAGTCATTCGCTCTTGGGGCCGCTTGGTGGTAGGAAGAGCGTGTCGAAATCCGGGCTAGGAAGGCTGCTGAGGGCTAAATTGGGGTCCGTGGCGTGGGTGGAGGGGACTTGGTTGAGGACAGTCGTTATGGGTCGGGGGATGATTGCCCAAGCCCTGAGGCCAGGAGGGAGTCTCCAGTGCCCAGGAAACTTGCCACAGATCTGCCTGATGAGGAAGTTAGGAAAAATTCTCTGAGAACTCGGGAGGCAAACAAGGTCTTAGGGAATGATGACACAAGGAACTCTATAGGAAGACCAGACTAGCTTTCTTGGTATGGAAGGTCTTGCGACTTCTTGGGCATCCAAGAATGAGCGAAGGAGGATGACTAGAGAACTTGCTTTACTTGTAAGTGGGTGAACTTCGGCATTGTGGATTCTTGTGCTTTTTCTGCGCCCAGGTGGGTGAGTGCGTCTGAGCTTTGTCCTCCTTTTGAATCTATAATTCAAATATTGGATTGGTAGTTATGATCTAAGCTATAGGCACAAGGAATTGTACCACCAATGAGCTGGCTGAACAGCCAGGCAACTGTTCCAACAAAATGTCGCAGGTGATGAAATAACCATTTTTAAAAAGGAACTGTTATCAAAATGTTTTTTTTTTTAATTTAAAAGCTTGTGTATTTCAAGGTATACATTTAGTGATTTGTGTTTCCTCTGTGAAAAGGATTCTAGAGTGAGGAGAAGGAACTGCAGAGCTGCTGTGTTCCCATGATTTCCCATATTTGCTGGAGGGAAGGGTGTGGAAGCGGTAGCAATGTCTTGGCATCCGCATTGGGCTGTGTATCTGAGTAGTGTGTTGGGGGGCACTGGGTGTTGGGGTGTGGCTAGGCAAGAAGGTGCATGTAAGTCTAAATAGAGATGGCATCAGCTCTGGTCTGTGATGAGCTCATTTAAGATATTTTTGAAAAAGAATCTTAAAGTTTAGATTAAATGGTATATACAGAAATTTGAAAACTGGAAAATGTGTGTCTTATATATCTTTTTCATCTGTAATCACCAATCTGCACACTTTCAATTTCTGTACATGTAAGTAAGTTCATAACTCTGTTGTTCAGCCCACATTTTCTTTTGATTCATATAATTTTAATGTCATAACATGTTAAAAACACAGTTTCAAACTAGCTTATTTTAAAATCCTGATCTAAATAAGTCAGAATTTTAGTATGTGCATCAGCAGATACCTTTTTAATAGGAGATTGTTGATGCTCATATTGCAACACAGCTAGATCCATAGCACCTTAAGAATCATTAAATACGTATAAGCCCATACAAGCACATTTTGGTCCTGTTGTAATCCTCATGACAGCTGGCATTCTATATATGGTGTTTGTGGTGACCTGTGATTAATCATGCTTTCCATTTGCACTTAACTTTCTGTTCTCCATTTGAGTACATACATACATTCCAGGTTATGAAATTTTGTTAGAAGAAACTTTAGTAGACTCATAAAAGTACTAAAAGTACAAGGGTTAAATCACATGATTTACCATCAAGTAAAAAGACCTTACAAGCTAATATTTCCATTTTGCAGAAGGAAAGTTCCATAGGAGAAGTGGCAATTTAAAAATTCTGTAACTATTGTGCTCATTCATTTTTGTCTTTTAAAAGATATTTTGAATTTTTGTACATTAGTTTCCTTTACCTCTATCCAAAAGGGTGTTATTTTAGAAAGCCTACTTTGTGTATTTATAGTAAGAATAAATAGAAACACTAAAGTGAAACAATTTGAGGTTACACCTTTATTTTTCACTCTCCTTTTAGCAGTAGATCTCTATGTCAGTATTATTGACTTGGGTAGTTTTCTATCATATAATTGATAAAATTTGAATAGTGCTATAAAATGAAACAAAACAATTTGTTTTACCAAGACTACAGTGGACAATTAATTATCTTTAAAAAAAGCTTAACTTGGGCCCTCCCTGGTGGCGCAGAGGGTTAAAGCACAGCACTGAGAAGCTAAAGCCACTTCCGCATGAGTTCGATTCCCGCCTGCCCCAGAGGTGACCACATGGCGTGGCAGACCTCTCCTGACCCGCCCGCTGCTCCCCTCAGCAGTGTACTTTGTCGATCTGCCTGTTCTGCTCCACTCTGTTCCTGGTGAATCCTCTCACCCTCCGCAACTCTGGCCTGTACCCCAGTTCTGTATGAATACATAAATAAATCTTTAAAAAAAAAAAAAGCTTAACTTGTTATATTTTTATTTAAACCTTCCTGCAACTCTAAAGTTTAATGAATCAGGTTATTAAAATTATCCTGGAGGTTTTCTTATATAATTCAAATAGCTACAATTTATCAATCTTAATATTTTTTTATCTATCATTTTTGGGTATACATCATTATTTTATACAAGTTATTTTAAAACTAACTTTAAAAATGATTAGTTTATCATTGCTAATCAAATAGTGCCTTTATATTTTTCATTTATTTTATTAAAAAGTCTAATTCGGCCCTCCCTGGTGGCGCAGTGGGTTAAAGCACTGCACTAAGAAGCTAAGCCAATTCCTCATGAGTTCTATCCCCGCCTGCCCCGGAGGTGACCACATGGCGCGGCAGACCTCTCCTGACCCGCCCGCTGCTCCCCTCAGCAGTGTACTTTGTCGATCTGCCTGTTCTGCTCCACTCTGTTCCTGGTGAATCCTCTCACCCTCCGCAACTCTGGCCTGTACCCCAGTTCTGTATGAATACATAAATAAATCTTTCAAAAAAAAAAAAAAAGTCTAATTCACACTTAGTATCTTTCAAGATGTATAACATATCTATTTATGAATATCCTTCCCTTAATATTACATAATTGAATAAATTTGATGCCTTGTAGAACAATAATAATGAATGGACTTCTGTTATATATTCAGCATGAATAAATTTCATAAAAATAATTTTAGCAAGTAAATCAAAATGCATACAAATGACTGCATATTTAAAAGTTTGAAATTTGGCAAAATAAACCTACATCTTTTTTAGGGCTACATATATGCAGGATAAGGGAAAACTTATGTTTAATGCAGAAATCATGAATTGGTATTATTTGAAGAAAAATATTATTTCTTAAAACACATATTTGCTATGTATAGTGATCAGTATCTACCACATATTTTGCAAAGCACATTTAAAATAAAAAAATAAGGAATAGAAAGGATGAATAAAACCAAAAGCAATTTTTTTTAAAGATTTATTTATTTATTCATACAGAACTGGGGTACAGGCCAGAGATGCGGAGGGTGAGAGGATTCACCAGAGACGGAGCAGGAAGCAGAACAGGCAGATCGACGAGGTACACTGCTGGGGGGAGCAGTGGGCGGGTCGGGAGGGGTCTGCCACGCCATGTGGATCTCCTCTGGGGCAGGCGGGGATAGAACTCATGCGGAAGTGGCTTAGGTTTCTCATTGCTGTGCTTTAACCCGCTGCGCCACCAGGGAGGGCCCCAAAAGCAAGTTTTTAAAGCTCCAGAAATACCCTGCTATGATTGAGTAAATGTGAAACAAAGAAGGCACTCATAAAATACAAGTTATCAACATTGACTAAATAGTCGGGCCCTCCCTGGTGGCGCAGAGGGTTAAAGCACTGCACTGAGAATCTAACGCCGCCTCTGCATGAGTTCGACTCCTGCCTGCCCCGGAAGTGACCACATGGTGTGGCAGACCTCTCTTGACCAGCCCGCTGCTCCCCTCAGCAGTGTACTTCGTAGATCTGCCTGTTCTGTTCCCAGTTCTGTCTCTGGTGAAGCCTCTCGCCGCCCCTGAGCCTCTGTCCTGTACCCCAGTTCTGTATGCACAAATAAATAAAATAAAATAAAAAAATAGACTTACAGTCTTTAAAACCTGATTAAAAGACACATTTGTACACAAACATACACCTTCACATCTTTCAAGATCAGACTTGTGATAGGTAAACTCTTCTGTAATTACATGAGACATATAATCTCTACCTTATAAGAATTGTTTCAAAGAACAGAAAAAAAGTGGAATTCTCCTTAATTTTCTTTATGTGGATTATTATGAAGTTGAAAAGTAGTATCATAATATCAGCTATAGGTATATATTTGAAATATCAAAGTAAATATCAAAAAATCAAACCAATAATTACTCTGTCCTTGCAGATTTTCCCCAGATAGAGATGTAATTTCACATTAGAACAATCTACTATTGTATTTTAATATAGTTACATTATAGGTATATTTAGAATTATATTCTGAAGAGTTTTACTACAATAAAAAAGTTAATGAACTAGGAATAAATGTATACATGTGAACATATATGTTCAGTTCAAAATACATAAGAAATTATATTTATTATAAAAAAATTCTTAGGATACTATTCCCCTGTGCTTCCCAGAGATGGAGCTGGGGAATCACAATATTTAGGCTAAAGGTTAAAACAGGGAGCCCCTAAACTCAAGGGCATGCTGTCAGTCTGCTTACATCAGTAGCCTCCCACTGTTTATGGAGCAGCTGCGTGCTGATTTGTGAAAGTGAAGCAAATAAATTCTAATGGCTAAATGCCAACCACGTGGGCAGTGTCTCCACTTTTAGGGCATCATGGTTGTCTCCTGTGTAGTTGCCAGTGAGGGTTGGAGTTTCTGTGGAGAAAGTGTTCCCCTAGTGTCTAAAACAGCAGCAACAACAAAGACAATGAACAACCACAAAAAAAAAAAAAAAAAAAAAAAAAAAAACTGAGCAAACAATATATGGAAATTAACTTTTTAAAAAGATTTATTTATTTATTTATGCATACAGAATTGGGGGTGCAGACCGGAAGTGCACGGTGGTGAGCGGATTCACCAGAGACAGAGTGGGGAGCAGAACAGGCAGATCAACGAAGTACCCTGCTGAGCAGAGTAGCCAGCGGTCAGGAGAGGTCTGCCGCGCCACATGGGTCAGCTCCAGGGCCAGGGTTCCAGCTGGCACTGAAGCAGCTGCAGTACTTGCCGGTAACCCTTTGCACCACTAGGAGGGGCCTGGAAATTCACTTTCTTAACATATAATTGTGTCTAATAAAAATGAATGAATTTGGGCCCTCCTTGGTGGTGCAACCGGTAAAGATGCAGCTCTGCAAGCTAGCGGCAGCCAGCTTAGATCCCCGCCCTGCCAGGTGACGCACATGGCGGCAGACCTCTCTTGACCTGCCAGCTGTTCCCCTCAGGAGTGTATTTCACTCGATCTGCTTGATCTGCTCCTCACTCTGTCTCTGGTGAATCCTCTCACTGCCCTTGCACCTCTGGCTTATACCCTATTTCTGTATGCATAAAGAAAAAAATCTTAAAAAAAAAAAACATTAAAAAAATACACTATCAACTTGATTTTGTGTATGGAATAAAAATATAAAAGTATGAACATAAACTTAAAAGAAACTATTCTCTGATAAGATAAATGGAATTGGATTCTAGCTGTAATTGTAAATTTTAGTTAAAAAGAGCAAATATTATAAAATTTAAAAATTTTGAATATTTGAATGGATACATACCTATTTGTTATGTTCTCTTTGATACACTGATATCTAAATATTTCTTAGTTGACATATTTTGAAGAGTTATGATTAAAATATATTGAATATATTTTGAATATGGCTTTCTGATAATTAGAAGATAGAATGGAGATATTGAAATATTAAATTATTGTTAAACTTTCTGGGAGTTTGCGAAAAATCAGCTAATGACAAGTATAGACGTTTATTTGTTAGATTTCAGTTGTTTTTTTTAAACTGTTAAGGTTTATTTATTTATGCATACATTACTGGGGTACAGGTCAGAGATGCAGGGACGGTGAAAGGATTCACCAGAGACAGGGGGGAGCAGAACAGGCTGACTTACGAAGTACATTGCTGAGGGGAGCAGCAGGCGGGTCAGGAGAGGTCTGCTGCTCCATGTGGATCACCTCCAGGGCAGGTGGGGATTGAACTCATGCTGAAGTTATTTTAGCTTCTTAGTGCTGTGCTTTAACCCGCTGCACCACCAGGGAGGGCCCAGATTTCAGTTTTATTCCACTCATCCTACTTACTACTTATATCCATTCTGTCTTTATTGCATCTTTGTGGTAAATTTTGAAACGGAGAGGTCTAAGTCTCTAACTCTGTTTTCCTTTCTCACGTGTAATTGGGTTTTGGGGTCCTTTTAATTTCTGTAATGATTGCCAATTTCTGCTAAAAATCTGTTTGGAATTATGGTAGGGACTATTTTCAGTCTGTAGATAGACATCAGGAACATGGTTTCTGATCCTTGAAGATGGCATACCTATTATGAGTGGAATTTTTAGCTTAATTTCAGTTTCATAATTCCTTATTGCTTGTGAACTGGAATGCATCTAATTTTTTATGTTGATCTGGTATTCTTAAATCTTGCTGAACTCACTTATTATTTCTGATATATTTTTAGTGAATTCCTTTGAAGTTTCAATGTATAAGATCTTGTCATTGTCTTCCTTCCAGCTGGATAACTTTAATTTACATTTTTTATTTAATTGCCTTGGTTAGAAACCCAGGGCAGAGTAGAATAGAAGTAATGAGAATGGGTGTCATTTTGTTCTTCTTCATTTAAGAGGAACACAACCCTTCTCCATTAACTATAATCCTTGTTGCAAGTTTTCCATAATGCCTTATGACCATATTGAACACAATTTCTTCTAATTCTACTCTGTTGAGGATTTTTAAAAAAGATTTATTTATTTACACATACAAGAACTGGGATACAGGTCAGAGGTATGGGGGGTGTGAGAGGATTCACCAGAGACATGGTAGGGAGCAGAACAGGTGGATCGACTGAAATACACTGCTGAAGGGAGCAGCAGGTGAGACAGGAGAGGTCTGCTGCACCATATGGGTTACTGCCCTGGCCAGGGATTGAACTCATGCTGCAGTAATTGTGGATAGCTTCATAGTGCTGTGCTTTAACCCATTATACCACCAGGGAGGGCCTCTGTTGAGGATTTTTTAAATTGTAAGTAGGTTGTGGATATTGTAAATTGCTTGTTTTATCTACATTAATTTGATCATAATACTGTTTTTTTAAAAGGAGAAAAAAGCATCTCTTACTGAAGTAAGGTTGATATATAGAAAGCTATGTATATTTTGTATATATACCTTGGTGAGTTTGGAGATAAATATATATTGGTGAAATCATCACCACAATCTATGTCATCAATCCATCACCTCCAAAATGTTTTCTCCCACCCTCTTTATCATTATATTTCTGATGACAGGAATCATTGCTACTAACTCTTTCAGTAAAATTTTAAGTATCCAATACAGGGTCATTAACTGTAGGCACCATGTAGGTTTCTAGGATTTATTCATTTTGCATAACTGAATCTTAGTCCTTTAGTACATTCCATTAATGTGAGATTTCTTTAATTGTAGGTCTTCAGTTTTTCTTGTGATGCCTGCAAAAAAGTGATATTTAAATTACCTTCCAAACTAGAGGCAGACAGAATGGTCGGCAGAGGTGAGAAATTTCAAAACAATGTTTTTTAAACCAGACATTTAGTTTACCTACACTGCAAAGATGTTATCGAATATTGGCTTTTTGTAATTAGTCTGAGTCTCTTTATAATTAGATGCAATATGAAATCATTTTAAATATGTTTCTGCCCTTTGTAATTGAGTTCTATAGCTGAGTCCGGTGCAAATGCTCTAATTCATGTTTTGTGGACACTTATGTTAAGCACTCAGCATTACAGAAAGAATTATTTGGAGAACATAGTGATTTCACCCTAGATAAGCTGCTGAGAGAATCAGAACATTTCTTTTGGCAGAGTTAGCTGCATCAGAGAACATAACTCAGTGAACCATTCATTCAAAACTGCACTTAATCAGCTATTTGTACCTGGAAACTGTGCCTCAGTGGACTTTCCATGTGGGAAAGTGGGAGGCATAGGAAATGAAAAAAAATATATATATATATAATATATATATATATATATATGTATATATTTACATATGTACCTTGTCCCAGAGATACCAATTTTTTTTGATATAGTGTCCTTCTAGTTAAAATGTCACAATAATTTTTTTTAACAAATTTTACTTCATATTTATATATATTTATTTCCTAGAGAGAGGAAGGAAGGAAAGGTTATAAAGAGAGGTTAGCAGTATTTTCTCTTTGACACCAGACCAGATGTTATCTGCTAAACAGATATTTTATATTTACTTTATTAATTGTTTTTCATGTTAAAAATGTGAAGAGCAAAGCATATCATCACTCCTAAATATGTTCTCTCCTCCTTGACTAAATGTTTCCATGTATGAAAGATTTGGATTAAAGTGAAAAAGTAAACGTGGGTCACACATGAATGTTTTGGGAAATTCTCTCATAAATATCAGTTTACCAGTTTGGTTTTTGTTAAGACAGTTGAATAGAATGGATCTGAGGCTTTTGAGGTAAGTATCAAGACACTTACTTATTTTAGTACTGTTTACTAGACAACAAAATTCTGAGGGAGAGAAGACTGCATATAGAGTGTCAGTGGAGATTCCTGGAAACCTAGAAACACATGAAGAGTTGCGGACCCCGGAGCATTGCGAGATTGGGGGCAGGGTGTCAGGGGAAAGTGCCAGTGTGAAGAATGTAGATACTTCATACTTGACAATGAACCTGACTCAGATACTTTCTCATTCTTTGGACTCATGTACCATCTGGCCGATGGCAGGTGTATTTTATAAGACTCAGACTATATTGCTAAGGAAGACTTTTCTGTTTATTCAGGTTTATGGTGGGAGGGGCATATAACTCAGTTTTACCATGATTGAAACAAGCATATTTCTTTTATAGCAAGATAATTTCCATCAGCCTTTTAAAGGCATAGAAAGGTTTTAAATACCATTTTTAATACAAGTATAGACTAAAAATTATATATTTTAGCTGAAATAAAATTATTATTTTTTAAAAATACATGTAAAGAGACTGGTTAAGAGAGTTGGTAAATGCAAAATGATTGGTTAAATCCATTGCAGTCTTCTAAAGATTGTATCATTGGTTTTCACACTTGTTTTATTTTTGCCTTTGTTTCTACTTTACAACTTTGACATTTTTATTTGCAGTTAATTTGAAAGAGTGCCTAAGTTCTGCAGACCTCCTCCAGTCCAGTGACCCCGATTTCAGAATTCTAGATAATGGGTCAGTTTATACAGCCAATGCTGTCGTGTTGTCTGATGAGAAAAGGTCCTTCACCATATGGCTTTCTGACATGAAGAAACAAACACAGAAAGAGATAACTGTGCTCTTAGAACATCAGAAGAAGGTATCAAAATACATTGACATTTGCAGGCCCTTTTTTCCCTATTCACTAAAATACCTTCATTAAAAATTGCGAAGACACCTGAAGAATGAATAGTCTTTCTCTCCTCTCACACCCTCCCCTCTCTTCTTAATTCTGACTTGAGGTTCAATTTAAATGACATGTCCTCCTTGAAGGATGTTTCCACCTCTAAAGTTTAATTGCTTTTGTGTCTGTATTAGTTTGATTACGCCTCTATTAGCCTTGGGAAGATTTTATTAGTGTAATGATTTGCGATTGCTTGAGAGCACACATCAGTCCCTTCTGACTCAAAGGTATTAAATGTGTGTGTTCATAATAAGAACAGGCATTCCCAGTAAATAAAAGGTTCATGTCAAGGACCACAGGATTGAAATTTCTGAGTGGGTATAAGAGTATGGACGGCAGGATATTGACCTTCATTCAGGAGATTATTTGCTGCCATTCTAGGTAAGGTACCCAGAAGAATGCTAGATGCTAGTGTGAGAGTAGCCACAAAGATGATAAAGTGCTTAGACTGGATTACACTAAGCCATGTTAAGTGTATCATGATAAGTTCATTTAAATGACTATTTAGCGCTGTAATAAATGTTTAATAAAGTCATGTATTACTTCCTTATCAGGAAATGGTCTCCCTTGGAAAACCATGAAATGAAAAGGATATCACTGCAAAGCTAATAGAATGCTTTGCAATGATGAAAATGCCCTACATCTGTAGCATCTGATATGATAGTTTGATATTAATGACTTCTATGCTCTTAGCATATAGTAGTGCAAAAATTTATATTTTATTTGATTCCAACTTAATGAAATTTTAATATCCAAACACAGCTAGTGGCTACCCTATTAGACAGCTCACATAGAATGCTAAGGCATTGAAGGGCATGTACAGGGCTTGAAAAGAAACATATAACTACTCTTTAGAAATTGTTATAGCGAGGATGTCTTTTCTGTATATATTTGGAACACAACAAGACCTAAAGGTACAATATTTTATTACCCTGAACATATGGACAGTGTTAGAAAGGCATACAAAACAAAATTTTCTTCTTGATGAAATCTTTCAGATCTAGGTATGTTCTTTCTTATTCTCTGATGCAAAAGGATCTAATTATTTGGTCTTAAGTTTCTGCATGGAAATTCTTGAAATTGAACTTTGAAGAAGGTATTAGAATTATAAGCTGCCCATTAGTTTATAGCAAATTAGGCTTTGATACTTTTGCTTATTTATTTTTTCTTGCTTTAAATTCAGGTACTGAAGAAAAGACACACTAAAGAAACTGTTCTCAGGCGAACCAAGAGGAGATGGGCACCCATTCCCTGTTCAATGCAAGAGAACTCCTTGGGTCCTTTCCCTTTATTTCTTCAACAAGTAAGCTTTACATCCCTCTGATTAGGAGGGATTTAATTTCAGGAGTCTGTTCTGTTCAGGTTTAATAACTCTTTGAACTTTTATAAATAAATGGACTTGATTGAAGACACTTAAGTGTATATTCAAGTGAGTAAAATAAGAAAAAGCAAATCGTTAAAAATCTAGTAATATGAGGAAGACTTGAAACCGTTAAATGTTCTTTATTAATTTATTCATTCTATTAGCAGCTAGTACTACTACTCTAAGACACTAAGTACTAAAGCTAGACATCAATGTAGTCATAATCTTTGATCCTATGAAGTTTATAAGTCTAGCGAGGACACAGCTAACAAATACTTGCAATCTTGAGTGATGAACATTCTGGTAAAGGTGGGGTGGGCTGATGTGAGGATTCATGGGATGGGAAGTAAGTCCTGAGATGAAATATGGGAAAACAACAGCAAAAGTCTTGGAGGAGGAAACATCTGAGTTACATCCTGAAAGATGGAGAAATGAGATGGAGATAAATGTGGAAGAATTGGGGCCACTGAGGTGAAAGCCAGCTGACTCCTTGGAGGAGATCCCAGCAGCCTGGTCTTTTTTGCAAGAAGACCAGACCCCAGAGAGTCATGTGTGTTCTGCTAGGAAGTTTAATTTTCTTACAAACAATAAGCTTGTAAGTAGGGGCGACCTTAACTTTTCACAAAGATAAAAATGGCATACCTATAATGCAAACAACTGCTGGCATGAGGCTACCATGCTTACCTGTCTCTTTAAGTCTCTGCATTAAGTTTCTGTTACTATGGTTGATGTCAGCTACTAGTGGTGTGACATGCCAGCTCCTTTTTAATGACTTTAGCTAACCTGCCATGTCTTGCACACTTGCTTTTGTTTTGTACAGCTCCAGTCCTGGTTTCTTCTCTGTCCCCATAGTTCTCTGGGTTTCTCAATGGTTTTTTGTTGCCACTTGATCACTCCAAGCTCACCCCTCACTGGGTCCCCTTACACTTCCTGCTCCTTCTACTAGGAGACTTATAACAGTTTCTTTTCATCGCTCATTTTTTTAATTCTTATCTGTTTCCCATCAATGAAACATACTAATTTGGTGTCCCCTTCATAAGTGTATGTGAGGCTTTCTTTGTTTTGCCCCTGCCAACGATGTATATTATTCTTTTCTATCTTTACTAATGGCCAAATAGAAAATCAGGCTTAATTGTTATAGTAAGGTTTTCTTTGGCTACCATATGTATTGAACATTGTTTTCATTAAATTTGAACACTTGAAAAAATATTTTGCCAAATGTTCATTACTGTTTATTGATTTAAGTGCCAAATGTGAATATTTTCTTATTAAAGTCATCTCTTTAAAATAGAAAACTGTAAACACATGAAATGCATTTATAAAAATAGCATTTCAGTTAAAAATATTTACATGTAATTTTCCTTTTAGGTTCAGTCGGATGCAGCACAGAACTATACCATCTTCTACTCAATAAGTGGACGTGGAGTTAACCAAGAACCCTTAAATTTGTTTTTCATAGAAAGAGACACTGGAAATCTGTATTGCACTCGGCCTGTGGATCGTGAAGAATATGCTGTTTTTGATGTAGGAGTTTTATTGCTATAATGACTTCAAATTATTAAATTATGTTTCTTTGGATACTTGATTGCTCTTTCCTGTCTTCTTGCATTTTCTTTTTGGAGGGTATTCTGAAGTCAAAGGAAATAGTATTTTGAAATATTTGGTCAGCTCTTTCACTTCTGTTAGGTAAGTCTGAAATAAAGGCGAGAGGTTTAATTGCATTTGATTATAAATGCCAGTATATTTCTGGGAAGTTGGTTTTACTTATGAGATGCTCTTTCTTTCTCTGATCAGCGTACCTCCGCTAGGGCATGCTCTGCTTTCTCTGACAGAAGGGGTTCTCTTCCCTTTTCTGCTATAACTTTTTTTTTAACTTCTTTCAACATGTATGGTACTCTGATAATTTCTGAGAGCTAGATAAGATACCAAATTGGGTGATCATGCAGAGGTCTGATATGAATGAGTTTACAGTCAATGGGGAATAAATCAGACCGTTTTTAGTAGAATACACTAAATTCTATTGGGATCAAGTGGTCATCCCAATGAACCCCATAGGAAAGAGGGGTTCTTTTCTTTCAAAAGGGCAGAGATACTAAGCAAATGTTAATGGCATCTGCCATGTGACATTGCTTTCAGCTAGAAAACTTTTAGCTCACTGTAGTCACGTGCTGAATAGAAATGCATTCTACTTGACATTACATTGCTTTCGGTTAATTAGCAATGTGAAAATTGGCAAATATGTTTTGCTAGAAAAAGCTCCTACAAATGTGTGATCTGTAAAGTAAAACAATAAAAAGAATAAAGGGATGGGCATTAACAAGACTGGGAAACATTTAGATGTACAGTAGGGTTTTTTCCTACTGTAGTGAGTATTTTTTCTCAATAGAATATTCTAGTTAAGGAGAGAATTAAGACTATCAGCCAGATCTCTATATTTACATTTAATCCCTCAGTCAAATGGAGTGGTCTCTGCCTTTGTTATAATACGGCTTAAGTTTTATTTGACATTAGCCATTTCTGCCAAATAGTGGTTGCTTTTCACACTACTTAAAATCTTTTCTCCCCCTGGCTATTGATGATTAATATTATATTGAAGTGAAATTTTTGAAGTAGTTTATTATAGGAAAGATTTGCAAAGAGGGTAGTAGCTAAAAGATAATATTCTCTCTAGTTTAAACCTTTGATTAATGATGTTTGCACCTATTTTTCTTGCTTTGCAGTTGATTGCCTATGCACTGACTGCTGATGGTTATTCAGCAGATGCACCTCTTCCACTGCCCATCAGAGTGGAGGATGAAAATGACAATCGTCCTATTTTCACAGAAGCAGTTTATAATTTTGAAGTTCCAGAAAGTAGCAGACTTGGTAAGAGAACTTGTAAGGCTAAAATATATTGTTAAGAATATTTGAGTATGCTTTTGGAGACATTGAACTTTTTATACTCAGGGTGAGATCATTCTGAAGTGACACTGGACCAGTATCTCCTTACCAGATACATTTAATTTCCTCAAATTCAATAACTGTACAACTTACAGGATATTTCAGGAGTTTGTAGCTGGTCAATATTCAGGACAAAATATGCAATAAAACTCAAATAAATGCAGGTATTTTATTAGACTTTATGAAAGTGTTTAACAATATTTTTAACTCTTAACACTAGTACTTTTCTACTTCTGATTTAGAATAATACTGATATAACTTTCATGAAGCTTACTATCATATATTCTCCATCCTAAGCACTTACTCCCAAGTGTAGAAGGGTGCTTTATTTTAGTTGGCCCTTCATGTGGTATTCACTGTCTTGTGAGACTTGCAATATGGAAATTAAGCACTCACAGTAAAGTTGAAAGAACATAGACTCACTCATCAAGGGTGACTTCACTCACTTGCCTATCAAAGTTCCTAGTCAGATCCTCACTGCACTATTATATCTGCTATTCCCTTCAATATTTTGCTTTGAAAATTTTATGTCATATATGTTAACCTCTATTATTCACATGGTAAAATTAAAAAATAAAAATCACTGTTTTGGAGTTTAGGAAACCAGGTTTTGATTCAGGATCTGTTATTAATTTACTGTGGGAACTCATGGAAGTTCCTTTGAGTTCTCTGACCTGTAAAATGACTTAATTGCATTAGATGCCCTATAATATTTCTTGTTTCACAAGTCTATGACTCTGTTACAGTTTTCTTTTCTTTTTTCAAAGAGGGGTGGGTGGTTTCAAACTCTTTCTTGCAGATTCTTTATCTTTGGCAGTAATAGAAGAATCAAGGCAAACACTTTGATGCTTAGATCAGTCCAATGTACTTAAAATGTCTCACAACAGTAGATTCAGATTAGTTTAAGGCTGTGATGATCTGAAGTAATTGGTGTGCACTGGGTTTGTCTAAACTCACAAATAGCAACTGGGCAAAGCATACCCAACTATTCTATATATTCTTTCTCAGGCCAGCCTTACATGCAAGGCCATAGGAAGAATGGAGTTAGGGAGCACATGTTCATGGGAATTAGAACACTAGCCATATAGTATGAAAATGCTACCTGTGTACTCTGTTACAGGAAATACTTTGTGTTTATCAAGGCGGTATTTTCACATTCCATATAGATGGTAATTAGTACTAACTGGAGAAAAAGTTGACTTAAATTCTCCTCAAGTATTAAATAGTATGAATACCCTGTCTGAGAATTATATGAGTCCTAAGCTGGTGAGAAAATATCATAAAAGGGAATTGGGAAGTGAAAGTTCAAGTTTACCAATCTATAGAGTTGTACACCAAATTGGTCTTCATTTATGCATTAATCATAAGTTTAATTTAAAGAATCTGATTCTTGTAGACATGATTTTTTTCTCTTAAGGTTTGGTATTGAAGTATATGGAAATGAATGTTCAAATTATTCTTGAGTAACAAATTCAGTTTTTAGTAACTTGCTTCCAGCCAAGTTAAGCATACATTGATTCCTAGCTTCAAAGTGTTTCATATGTTTCATATTGTAAATTTTAAATCATCTTCATCAGAACTATCTAAAGATGAAATCTTCTGGTAAGAAATATGTTTCAAATTAGGTGTCCACTATTTACAATAGGAAAGACATGGAATCAACCCAAATGCCCAAAAGTAGATGACTAGATTAAAAAGATGTGGTACATGTACACATGGAATATTACTCAGCAGTCAAAAAGATAAACTCATGCCTTTTGCAGCAACATGGATGGAGCTGGAAATGATCATGCTTAGTAAAATAAGCCAGAAAGAAAAAGAAAAATTACCAGATTGTTTCACTAATAGCAGGAACATAAAGGGGGAGTTGGTAGGGAAGAAATTATAATAAATGAAAAACAATGAACAACTATATACCAGAGACATTTTATTGGGGTGGAGTGGGGAATGGGATCAGAAATGGGGTAGGAAAGGTGCACGGGATTATGGTGATGGCACACGGATGAATTGGTGGGAAGTCCATAGGGATTACAACCGAGATGAAAAAGGGCATAAAATGAAGAATGATGTAAAAATAAATTTCAAAAATGTACATGCTTCTAAATGTATTTTTTAATTCTGGAAATTAAAATTTTTTTAAACATGTAGGTACGACAGTGGGTGTGGTTTGTGCCACAGACAGAGATGAGCCAGACACCATGCACACACGCCTGAAGTACAGCATCTTGGAGCAAGTACCACGATCACCTGGACTCTTTTCTGTGCATCCCAGCACAGGTGTAATCACCACCGTCTCTCATAATATGGACAGAGAGGTAGCTTGCATACTCTGCACCTATTCACTTACTGAGTGTTGAACCCCCACCCACTTACTGGTATTTACTATACAGTGGATTAGGAGTTTCTAATTTTATTTTATTTAGTCAAAAGAAAATAAGCATTCCTGGCCACTTATTTTTATTAAGATTTATTTATTGGGTGCCACTTGTTTGTTCCAGCTCAGTACAAGCCTACTTCTCATGTAAACAACAGTTGTTTTTGTTTTCATGAGTCCTATCCAGTTATTCCAGACATGGAAAGAATGAGTGAGATAAAGTTGATGGATTATTTAAATATCTATAATACCATTGAAGTGGTAATAATAGCATTATTTCATGTATATTACACTTTATAGTTTAATTCTTTGTGCATCATGTTAACTTCATAATTTCCTTGTTAATCTAGACAGTTGTTAGATCCAGTCGGTAGGGGGCAAACGTGACAGTCAGAAAGATTGGGTTAATCATGTCAAATTAGTGCACCGAATATTGTCATTTTTGTTGTTGTTACCTTATCTATTTTGTCAACTTATATTCAACTCAGAATCATGCTTTGAGTGAGATAGATTAATCAATTTACATGTATAAAATAACTTATTAGAACCTATCTGGTTCCTATTACAACTAAAATAAGTCAAAGGAACAGTGTGAATGGGAGAGAGAAAAAAAGAGGAGATCAATGGGGTTTGATGCTTAAAGCAAACAGAGTGAAGGAGAAATCCCACGAAAAGGAGTCAAAAAATAGAACATCTTTAATTGTAATTTTTATGAGGTTACAATACCTTATGTGAAAAAGCACATAATGGCAATAGTACATGGGAAATTTGGGGAAGACAGAGAGACTGTGTTTTGTATCCGTTGAGTAGCAGATGTATGTGAGAATCCAGCAATTAAATGGTCTTTTCCTCACTTTGTACAGATTGAAAAATGAGACATAGAAAAATTAGTAATTTGAGGTACACAGCTTGTAAAAATACAGGTTGGGGTTTAAACCAGGTCTATTTGCTTGTTCAAAAAATATTGGGATTATTTTGGGAACAATTACAAAGTACATTGTGGGAACATAGAAAGGAAGTGAGGAAATGAACAAGTGAAATAACCAATTTAGCAAAAGAAAAAACATTATCATGGGTCCTGGGACAGTCTGTGGTGGACCATTTCTGGTTGAGAATGGAAGGGAGTGAGTGAAATGAAGACTGAGGAAGAGGTAGGAGGACACAGAAAAGGAAGAAGGGTGAAGAACATAGGGTATGGCTAAAGCATAGCAAGAGAGGGCAGAAATGCAACACAGATGATTGCCATAACTGATGGTCATTTGTCTTCAAGTAACTCCTATGTGCATAAATCAACAGCTAACTTTTTATTCACCAATTCAACAATTGATAAACAATAAACAATCTCCTATTTATTGCTGGCATGTACTATAACATTTCTGTTATTTCTGTTGTGTCTGTTTTTTCTCTTGTGTCTCTGATCCTTTTTTTTTTTTTTTTAAACATTTATTTATTTGTGCATACAGAACTGAGGTACAGGCCAGAGGCTCAGGGGCGGTGAGAGGCTTCACCAGAGACAGAGTGGGGAACAGAACAGGCAGAGCGACGAAGCACACTGCTGAGGGGAGCAGCGGGCGGGTCAGGAGAGGTCTTCCACACCATGTGGTCACCTCCGGGGCAGGCGGGAATCGAACTGATGCAGAAGCGGCTTTAGCTTCTTAGTGCTGTGCTTTAACCCGCTGCACCACCAGGGAGGGCCTCTGATCCTTTTTTTATGTCTGTAGTGTTCTTTGCTTGGTCCTCTTATTCCCAGTGCCTATATGCTGCTGTCCTTATATCCTCCCCTCTTCCTTTAATTTCTCCTAGCTAATTGGATCCCTATCTTAATTTTAACTACCATCTATACACTGATCATTCCCAGATTGGTTTTTCTGGCTGTCATCTGTCTTGTAAAGATGAGACCATTATCCACATGTCTTTTGAGCCTTTCTCCTTAGATTTCTTATAGACTCAAAATTCAGTACATGCAAAAAAAAAAAAAAAAAACAAGAAACAAAACCAAAAAAACCTCATTCTTTTCACTCTTCCTTTACAACCTTGAGGAAATATTAATGTTTTCAGAGAACTATCTTTCCTTCTGTATTTCTTGGTTATTCACCTATTTACTTATCCACTCACCAAAGATAACCTGAACATCATTCTGACTCCCTCTTTCTTTTATAAAGCATTATTAAGTTAGACTCATTCCTGACTCTCAAGTGACTTTTTCTGTCACACTTTCTCTCATCCTCATTACTCAGCTTCAGATTTGAAACACCATCTTAGACTATTTCAGAAACTCTTTAATTGATTTCTTTGACTGCAGTTCAGTTTGCTCTAAATTATGTTCAGACCTTTTCATGAATATTATTTCTAGTGAAGTCAGTTTCTATCAAGCCCCCAAAGACAAACTAAAATAGCAATTGTTAATTATGCTAACTAAAATAACTCAGAATTAGATAAAACCAGATACCAATTGCACATTTGGGGACAAAAATTCCTTAAAGTTTCTCCACTGCCTCTTATTACACTAAATGACTAGTTTTTCTAAAACTCAGATGTTCTCAATTTGTCCTCCCTCGGCCTCCCACAAAGCTTTTATCCATTATCACTCCTTAAAGCATACATCTAAATTCTCCCTACAGCTCTTTGAATTTATCCTCTATCTACCTTTTCAGTGCTTTTCCTATCCATCAAATGCACAAGTGATAAATAAATGATGGATATGCACAGACACAATAATGTACAATTGCAGTTTCATTTGTAAATCTAAACAAATATTTTCAAGACTAATATTGCTTTGTTTTCAGGTTGTAGACAAATACTTACTAATAATGAAAGTGCAAGACATGGATGGTCAGTTTTTTGGACTGATGAGTACATCAACTTGCCTCATATCTGTAAAAGATTCAAATGACAATCCACCCACTTTCAGACAAAGTGCTGTGAGTATGTAGTATTGCAATCCCTCGATATTTGGTCAATTGTCATTTGTTATTTAATTGGAATGGATAAACTGGATAATATGGAGTGTAGCATACTTTGACACATATATGTTTACTTTAGCTGACATAAATGTATTTGTATGAGTAATTTTCATATTATCTTCTACTTGTTAAAGATCAATAACATTAATCTTCATGGTATTTTTTAATGCCAGTAAAAAATCTCTAGGAACAAGTATTTTTGTAGCGCAAGAAACTTTTTTAACTTTCTTTGTAAAAGTTCTTTTTATAAAGTAAATTTTTAATGAATTCTTTCTGTTTCAGTATGAAGTGTCAGTAGAAGAAAATGCATACAATGTGGAAATCTTACGAATACCTATAGATGATAAGGATTTAATGAACACTGCCAACTGGAGAGCCAATTTTACCATTTTAAAGGGCAATGAAAATGGAAATTTCAAAATCAGTACAGACAAAAAATCTAATGAAGGTGTTCTATGTGTTGTAAAGGTACAGTAATAATGAGTAATTGACAACTTGGCAAGTTAACAGTTTTAATTGATGCATTAAGTGATTAATAGTTTAATCAACTTTTGGAAGTTGGAAGGGAATTTGATCTATTTAGTCTACCTGTTCCCACCTAACTCCTGCTTTTCTTGTATAATTTTGTTGGCAGTTATTCGTCACCTAGCTTTTTGCTTGAACCTTCTCAATTACAGGCACTTCCACATCTTCGCTAGCAGCTCGCTTCATTATTTACATCTCTGAGTCCCAGGATTCCTTACCGCTACCATGCCTAAATTATTCTTCTTATAAACCATGTCTTTGGCCTGGTTCAAGACTAATATACAAAACAGGTGTAATAATAATTTTTTGTACATTTGAGAATTACCTTTTCTAGGAATAAATATTCCCACTCCCTTTAAACTAATTGAATTAAAAATTCAAAACAAAGATCCAAGTTCAGATCTGCTAGAGTATCTCTGTGACACTAGTCAGACTTAGTCTGTGACTTAGTCAGAAGGATCCCCCTATGGTCTTCAATTACTTACCATTACTTAGACCATTACTTAGCCTCCCAGAAACTTTATCATCATTATTATTTTTTATCTAAATGGCTTTATCTCACTTAGGGAGGCAAATTTTAAATAGCAGTGGGCAATAGGAATTAGAGTCTTACAGTGAGGTGTAATCTTTACTAAACTTTCTCAAAAGAATAGTCTTAAATAAAAAAGAAAAGCAAAATCAAAGCAGTTGTAATAAAGTAAGAACAAAAAACAAAACAGTGAACAACTATAAACCCGAGATATTGGGGGTGGGGTGGGGGGGACAGGATCTAAACTGGGGTGCGAAGATCACGTGGGACTTTGGTGATGGCACATGGGTGAGATGGTGGTGGGAAGTCCATGGGGGTTACAACTGAGATGGAAACATGCACAAAATGAACAATGAGGTTAAAAAATACATATTTTAAAAATAAATAAAAAAGAATAACCAGTGTTTATATATCAGCAAAGTCAGCTTTGCTTTTTTATATTCTGTATTCAAAGGGTTTTTATCCTCCAAGAAGTTAATCATAAAGATATTTGGACAAAATTTGCAAAACTCTTTGCACTAAAGCAATATTCAGTGACAGTCTCAAAAAGTCAGCTATAGCAACTGGGAGTTTATGTAAGTGGCTCAAAAGTAACTGGATATGCTGCAGAGTGGAAGCTGTTTCCCGAATTCCCACCCATTTCTTGTTCAGCATTTGCCCTGACTCTGCTTGAGCACACCAACACATGGGGTTTGTGTGGTAGTGTTCATTAGCAACAAATAGACAGATATTAATCCTTACACCTCTCATCTCTCCAGTTTCTGAGATGTGTGTAAGAAATAAAGTTTCATAGATTTTTTTTTTTTTCGAGTCAAAGATTTGGAAATTTTCTCGACCACTTATTGAAGTAATGATATGAACATCTCGGTTTACTGATACTTACGTGTAGGAAAAGGCTTTAAACAAAAACTTGAGAATTCAGTTTTGATTTTCTTCTGTATTCAGCCAGTACTTATTTTGACAAATAGAAGGAAAATCAAAGAAAAAGTGCTTCAACATTTCATGCAAGTTAAAACAGGGTTATAAGGGGTTTCAACAGATATGCTATCTAAAAATCTCTAATTATCAAAGGATTGACTCAAAAATTTTTAAATACTGGTGAACCAATGAAATGGGATATAATAGCAAGGGGATTATGATGTGGGAGTTAAATGAAATCAAGTCACACTACTTGACTTCAAACGCCTACACAAAAGAGTATCTTTTAGCCCTGGGAAAATCTGTTTATCTCCTGTTATCTCTATTTTACTGTTATGTAAAATGGGATGATGAGGATAATAGTATCATTAAGCATGTGATTCTCTAACTCCTCTGCATTTTCACTTTGAGAATCTCATTGCATATACAACTGAAGATGCCAAGGAATAATTCTTAAATTGTCAGTAATACAATTTTCATAAAAATTGTGAACACAGCTAAAAGTTTTATTTAGCCCATTAATGAAGGAGCCAGAGAAATAACAAAGCAGATTCCTGAAAAGAAATGAGAATCTGGATGGATTTTGATAAAAGGAAAAGCTCAATAATATCCCTAAATTATATGCATAATAGGATAATTGAAATAAACATTTGGAATATATTTCCTAATTGAAAATAAAGTCATAACTTCTTTTCAGTTATGTTTAAATCAATATCTAATTTTACATGAGCTGTAAAATGTCTGTACCCTAATTATAAAAGCAACAGATTAGACATACTTGTCTTCTCCTACATAGTCAGATGACTTCTTACTTGTACTTTAAGCAAGGTCATAGGAACATTGTTATCCTTCTGTTTTATCTCCTGGTTCAGGATCACTTCTCTTAGTAGGAAAGCCCTGTCAAATTATTACAGGCACTGCTTTTGCATAATTCTATAAATCCACTTGCAGATACTTTGAACCAATTGTTAAAGGTTTAATGATGACTCAGCTTTTATTTTTAGTACAGGCTAAAAGCCAATATTGATGAAATGGGAACACAATATATATAGAACTGTTCAGATGGACAAAAGTTCACTTCCTGTTTGAAATACCAAATATATTTTACCCTCAGGTAAAATATACATGTGCTTTATTTTACAGCCACTGAATTATGAAGAAAATCATAAAGTGATGCTGGAAGTTGGAGTAACCAATGAAGCTCCATTTACTAGAGATGTTGTGCTCAGAACAGCAGCCATGAGCAGAGCCCTGGTCACAGTTCATGTGAAGGATCAGGATGAAGGGCCCGAATGCAGCCCTGCTATCCAGTATATCCGGATTAAAGAAAACTCAGAAATGGGGTCAAAAATCCGCGGCTATAAGGCATATGACCCTGAAACTAAAAACAGCAATGGTTTAAGGTACAAAGAAAAAGAAATCACATGCGAATAATGTATTTGTGATCATTGAGACAGCAGCTTATTTGAATGCATTTTATATTATTAAAGTCTTTTTATTTTTTACTAACAGATACAAAAAACTGCATGACCCTAAAGGGTGGGTTAGCATGGATGAAATTTCAGGGACAATCATAACTTCCAAAATCCTGGACAGGGAGGCTGCGTCTCCCAGAAATGACTTATATAACATTACAGTCCTTGCGATAGACAAAGGTAAAGAAAACGTTTTCTTTTGCTATTTTTTGTAAAGGAAGTGGAGAGAAAAGGATAATTATTCTTGCACAGAATTATTACCTTTGCAAATATATGGAATTCTTTGAAATTTCTTTTTTTCCTATTAGATTGTATTATTTTTTATCATTTTTATCAATTATTTTTTATATTGTTTTACAACACTGGATAAAATTAAGAGCTACAGTATCACACTCTTCGGGTGTATGTGACATACTACACCCACTTCTAAAGCACCCCTATTCTGCCCCATCGTCCTTTCCCCTTTATTTTCTAACCCAACCTCCCTTTTTGGTAACTTCAATTCTGCAGTCAGATTTCTAGGGTTTATTTTGGCTTGTTTTAAGTTACTGTTTTATTTCTATACATTCTATATACAAGTGAAATCACAGAGACTTTATTTTCCTCTTAGCTATCTAACAAGGTGAAACCTCTTGGTCACAAGCTGTCTTCTTAACTTTATATCCCTAGCATGGAACAACCTCGAATGTTCAAAAATCGCTATGTTAAAGGAAAATGATGAAACTTAAGTCTAGGCCTATATGAAATGCTCTCATCAGATTCTTCTAGATATGTTTATATCACTATAAATTGAGAATCTATTTTATTTAGTTTTTACATAGTAACAGGAAAGGTTTATTAGGAAAAGGAGAAAGAAAAGGAGAGGTAGCTAGCTGCATAGTACATGTGGGCAGGAGTGTTGTCTAACTTGAAACTTTAAATGGCCTAGCTGGTAATTAGGTCAATATGATCCAGTAGTTATTTTCCTGCTCTTTAACACCTACCCTGAAAGAAACCTAAGGAAATAGATAGTTTCAAATTTACACATTTATGTTTATTCTTTGGTAATAATTCTACTAAACGTTTTATTAGAAATTGTATCTGATATAATCAACAGCAATGTCCATTTTAGATCGTCTGCAGGTTCCATTTGTCATTTTCATGTACAATTTCCTCTAGGTTTTAGTTTATTTTAAAGGAACGTCATGTATCATAAGTATAATCTAGTTGATTAGTTTTTCTTAAGAAACTACAAAAGACTTTGCAAACAACACTAAATCCTTTTCCTTTCTTTCCAGATAATAGATCATGTACTGGAACACTTGCAGTAAGCATTGAAGATATAAATGATAACGCACCAGAAATACTTCAAAATTATCTAATAATTTGCAAGCCAAAGATGGGGTACACTGACATTTCAGCTTTTGATGCTGATGAGCCCATCCATGGTGCTCCTTTTTATTTCAGTTTGGCAAACTCTTCTCCAGAAATCAACAAAATATGGGCTCTCACCAAAGTTAATGGTACTTAATCAAAAATAATAATTTACATGCTTTGAGAGAACTGAGAATAGATTGACTTGTTTAGTCTCTTGAACTGTAATGCAAAATAGATTCTCATTAACTATTTCAGAAGGTTAACTGTTTATAAATATCATAGAGGGCCTATGCTATAGATTTCATTTAAGAGCAATGATGAAATAAATCATAATTTTCATGAAGGTAAAAAGTATGTTTACCACAAAGAAAAAAAGTCTTTGTTAAAATAATGGGGGCTTATAATTAAGACCAGGTGTTTTGTAATTCCAGGTAGGTAAGAGACAACAGGCCATTTAAATTGTACTGTAAGCAAACTCTGGGAATGAAGAATCTGATTATATGCATTTAGCACTTTAAGGCACTCTAGAAGGAAACGGGAAGTGGTATGGAGCCTTCAGGAAAGTCACCTGTGGATGGTGGTTTCTGGGAGGCTGGGGTATAGGTGCAGCTACATAAGCCATAGTTTATTCTTAATTTGCTACTATGTCACACCGTTCATACAGTGTGTAATCTTTCTCTTCTGCTGAAAGTACCTCCCTCCTATTCCTTTACTTGACAGTAATGCATATTATTTCTAGAGCACCTACTACCCACCAGGCAATGTTGCAGAGCCTGGGGAATGCACATGGAGCTTCAGTAGATAGACAAGACTCCAGCTTAAGGACTCCTGTCCATGAAGTCTTTCTTGAAGTAGGGGTAGCACAATAACTTCCTACCTTTATAAAAACTCCTTTCTTATTATATTATTATCTGTTTATACCTTTCCTCTCTATTACATGAATTTCTCAGAATATTTGTAACCCATTTCTGTAATTTCGGTACTTTAGCTCAGGACGAAAGAGACACTAACAGCTTAATAAGTAGTTATTTGAACAATAATTGATGAAGACATATGTGTAAAAGAAGGAAATACTAGAGGAATAAGTGAATCAGTACAGAGCTTAGTAGGTCTCAGTAAGAAAGCCAAGAGATTGGATGGGAGGAAGAATGGACTCTATTGCTGAAGAGTTTATATCGAGGAGACTGATCCTTGTATAGTAGGTGACAGTGGGTGTGGCCAGGCAGTGCCATGCCTGGTTTATATCCTAAACAGGTGACTTTGGTAATAGGAGGGCATGCTCAGGGCAGAGTTGAGTAGCAAAGAAAAAATCACAGGCTGCTGTGTGTGAATGAATGAGACGTGACAATGACTCAACTGTGTTCTTGAAAGAAGGGAGGGGCTGGAAGGACCCTAACCTTAGATACAATATGGACCCCAGGAGTTTCAGATACATTCAAGAAGTGATTCTGCATCTCTCTGGGAAACTTTAGATAAGAGGTACAACATACCTAAAGTTCTGTGAAATTCGTATAGCTACCACAACGTATTTAGACAAGACTTAGAACTTACAGATGACTTCTGGGTGGTCATTATGCCACTTCATCATTTTACTTGATGCACTGCAAAAATTCAGGAAGTTTGTAATTGCCATTGAAGGTGTGTGACAGTTTTGGTCAGTTGATAATAACATCATTAAATAAGACATCAAGATTTGGGAAATAGTATAGTAGAAAAAAATCTATTGGTATAATATAGATATGTCTGGTTTTGTGTTTTGTTTATACCTAACCTATGTGACTGAGTTTACTTTGAAATGTGAGCCATCAATCTCAAAGAGTCTTTTGTGCTTTGAAGAATTATCTTACCAGTAAAAACAATAGACAAATACCAGAAAGTAAATGGCTAAAATAATATGAATTTAAGACATCCTTTGTGAGAAACTGTTATTGCTAATCTGTTGACTGTCATAAACTGAGTCTATAGAAGTATAAATTTTTGTTTAGTTTGCAGCTCAGGGAATAGATAAAAGAATATTAAATGTTGCTGAAATACTACTGGGCTACTCGAATGCCAAATTATTTCTTTCAGTCTCTTTGAAAAATTTGCAATGGGCAACACATGCACAGTGCTTAAAAGGTTGAAGATAATCTTCCATTTTTATTCACTTATGTGTCAGGTGGTTTTCTCAGAGAAGTATCTTTAACAAAGGAAGGAATAAATGATGATGAGCTAAGGAAGGAATAAGTGATCAAACATATATTCTTTTATTTTCTTTTAGATACAGCTGCCCGACTTACCTACCAGAAAAACGCTAAATTTCAAGAATATGATGTTCCTATTACTGTAAAAGATAGAGAAGGTCAATCTGCTACCAAAACCGTGCGTGTCCATCTGTGTGACTGCACACACCCGAGCCAGTGTCCGGCGGCCTCGAGGAGCGCGGGAGTTGTCCTTGGAAAGTGGGCGATTCTCGCCATTCTGCTGGGCATAGCCTTGCTCTCCAGTAAGTCTGTTCACCTGCAGGAAGCTCGAATGTTTAATGAATATCTGAGCTCAGGAAAAAGTTTGTAAAAACAATTTTGGTCTAACTAGCCATCAGGCATGAGTCCCCTTTTCAGATTCCTGTTGTGTTATTGTCTGAGTTCTGATGGCAGATGTTTTTGTGAGAGAGAGCAAGCTCATTTTGACATAACAGATCTTCTACTTGGACTATATGTTGAAAATTCCTTAGATTGCATCAAATCTGTCAAAGTATACCTTTTATTTCTTGGTCTTCATCCTGGCTGTCTGAGACTTCTGCCAGATGAAAGGACTCTCCAGGTCTCTTTCATTTCATGTCTTCCTACCATTTCAGCCACATGGAGATTTTTACACAGATGGTAAGAGAGCAGCTCTTTCTCTTCCTGGGTCTATCTTTCCAGTTTTGAGTCTGTCCACTTTTTTTCTTGCCAGTTATATAGTTCTGATACCACCATACTGTTTTCCTCTCTTTCCATTTCCATCCAGTCCTCCAACATAGATTAGCTGTTTCCTTTGTTCTGAGCTAGGAGTAGTAGTCAAGATGAAGACTCTGGAACCAGACTGTCTAGGTTTGTTCCCTACTCTGTCATTTACACACCTGTGTGGTCTGGGGCAAGTTAACTGAGTTTCAGTTTCTTCATCTGTAAAAGGATATAATTGTAGTAGCCTACTTTATGAGATAACACTAAAGATTGGTTGAGTTAATTTACTTTAACAGCTTGGAACAGTGCAGGTAATACCTAGTAAGCTAGTAAGTGTTCACTCTTTTTAATCAACTCAACACAGTAAATATATATTGAAGACCTTGTATGATGATATGTATTGTGTCTGGTCCTTCGAATTCATCAATGAACAAAATACACAAAAGTAAGGGGGAAAAACCCAATCTGTGTTGTGAAAGTAAAATAATAAATAGTGCAAATGTTGCAGGAAAAAATAGAGAGAAATAATGAGATATTGTAGTGCTGTAGGTGTGGGTGGGTGGGGAGGAGGTTAGTGCTGGTGAGCACTATTTCCAGTAGATGGTTCCATTATCGCCACCCCCTCCAGAAGGTTTTCTTTGGTGATTTGGGAAAGAGGAGAAAGAGTCAGCAAGTGGCACATCCACTGAAAGAATTTTCAGTCAGAGGTGAAGGCCAGTGCATGTCTAGGTCTTAAGAAATTATGGAACGGCAGGGAGACAGGGAGATTATGGTAGCTAGAGAACATAAATGAGGGGATGAGGATTGTGATTCAAAATAAATAAAGGGTCACATAGAATGGGGCTCAGCATACTTTTTTTGTAAAAAGCCAGAAAATATAAATTTTAAACTTTGCAGGTCTATGGTTTGGGTTGTAACCAAACACATTTTTCCTCTTGGCAAAAAAGAAGCTAATAAAAAATATTTAAAGCATTTAAAATAAATATTTAAAGACTATTTAAGGATGACTGTTCTAGTAAAATTTTATTGATGGACACTAGAATTTGAATTTCATGTCATTTTCATAGATAATGAATTAGTATTCTTTTATTTTCTCCCCAAAATTAAAAAATATAAAGACCATAGCACTGAGACCATATGTTAACCTGCAGTGAGCCAGATTTGAGGTTAGAGCCTGTCAATCTGTAATGCGGTGGTTCAGTCATTTTTGGTCACGTATTTCAAACTTCCACAATTCTGACAGAATGAAGATTCTAAATAGACAAAATACAAAGTAGGTGAATTAATACATTTGCAGAAAAATCAATTCTGGGAAAAAATAAAAGCTTGTTTCATCATGTTTCCATTATAAGCAAACTATCCTTTGGGAATTAGTAAATGTCTTGAAAGCTTTTGTCTTAAATACATATCATTAACTTAAAAAAAATTTACCGTGTTACTCAAAATAACAAATGCTTTAACATGGGTAGAATTCAAATTTTTCAAGACTTTGGTCTGGAAGAACATAATCAAAATACATATTAAAACACTTCAAATTTTAATATCTAAGCTAAGTGCACTGCTTGAAACTTGGAAAGGCCAAGGTAGTTCATGGACGCCATGCTTTGTGGGTTTATTTTCCTCCTGTGTATCTTAGATAATAAGAAGTAAAAGGTGAGCATTTTATTTTATAGATATTAAACAGGTTTATTTTTTTTCCCTTTCCTTTCTTTTTTAAACCCAGCTGTGTTGCTAACTTTAGTATGCGGAATTGTTGGTGCAAGAAACAGAAAAGGTTTTCCTGAAGATTTAGCACAGCAAAACTTAATTATATCAAACACAGAAGCACCTGGCGATGATAAAGTGGTAAGTAGTATTTTTAAATGGATATATTTATCTCTGAATATTTCTGATAATTCATGAAGTTATTTTGAAATTTGGGAGTTAATTTGTATTTTTAATTTGTCAGATCTTCTTGGTGTATATTTTCCATCAATATTCAAATATTTATGTAGTGAGATGTGTTGCTTTAGTTATTCTTTGTCCATACTCTCTTTGCTGTTGTGAATTTATTATAATAATTTTTTACAGCTGCTCTCTATCGTCTTTCTAGATATTCTGTTTATCAAACTCTTTGATCATTTATAATAGGAAACAACTTACCCAAAGTTCTCAAGTAAACTAAGATAATATCAAAGAGATTTAGGCTTTAAAAATGTGGGTGGTATGGAGGTGAGATTAGAAGATTATTACCACCCTCTTTCCTTATGTGTTTTTAGGGACCTCTGAATTGTTTGACACATTTCTTATTTTTTTGCAAGTATATATTAAAATATCTTACAAGGCATGTATTCCTGTAAAGACTGCAGGAATTGTATTTATAAGAAATATAATCTACTTTTGGGGAAAAAATAAATAGGAGCATGACAGTAAGCCACTAGCAGCAATATGGCAGAACTCTGACGATTCAAAGATAATTATGATCCTCAAGCACACTCATGCCGTCTGGATCTAACAGAAAGATCTGGTGAAAGAGGCACAGGTCACTGTGAAACTGAACGATAAGAAGGATTTGAAAGAGACAGAAGCGATTGGAATAGCCAAAGAGGAAGACAACAGGCAAAGGAATAAGGAAGGAGATGGCAAATTTAGGGATTATTCTACAAATAGTAAGTAAATTAATTTAGAATGGAAGAAATGATGTGTAGGAATAGAGGCTTGGAACTTGTTAGGCTCTGGGGGGAGAAGGGAAGCGAGAGGGGTGGAAGATGGGACTTTTGTATCTTACACTGAAATTTTGGGTTGAGTCTCTTGGTAAGGGACACCCAAGGCAAGACTGCATAAAGTGGCCTAATGTGACCAGCAGCTAGTGCTCACCAGGGACCAGTGAGAGTAAGATCTCAGGAATGTGGAAGACAAAAGGCAGGTGCTTTCTTAGGGACAGCCGTGAGCTAACATGCCTTTCTGTACTGGGATGGATTTGCCTTTCTCATTGTCTTTTCCTCTTTCTCCTCCCTATCATGATGCCCTCCTAGGTTTGACATCTGTACTGTGGGACCTTATTATTCCCCATTCAGAAAAATAGGATCCATTCTGTCATGATCCTTGTATAGACTAAGTTTTATTTTGTATCAGAGAATGGAATGATTGAGTTTTACTTAATAATTTTGTTCTTTTCCATTTGAAAATAGAATTGTTCAGAGTTGGTGGGCCATTTCCCATATCACACTCACCTCTACTTAGCCAGTCTCTGTTAGGAGCACTTCTTACAAGGGTTGGGATTACTAATTTATGCTACATTCATTTAAGTCACATTTTTACAAAATACTAAAATATTTTAACAAACATCCTCTAATACAATGAAAACCACATTTGCATCTGAATTAGACATTCAGTTAGGTTTAGGTGGTAGGTGAAAAACCAGGACTGGAAAAGTAAATCTGGAAGAAATTGTTCATGTCGTGGTGAGGATGCATTTGGGGAACACATATAGAAGTCCATGGAAAGGAACAGAGAACAGAAAGAATGTGAAAGCACTGAATTTAACCTTGATTTTAGTTTACTTTCAATTCTATCATTTGCTTAGAAGTATGTCTAAGCACAAGTTCCTTGATGGTGGACACACACACACACACACACACACACACACACAAAGTTATACCATTAAGATTTGATAATCTAAAATTTATTTATTTTTGATAAAACAGTTACTGTAGCAACAGCATAATAAAAAATAAGGTAGCAGCGCCACCTAATGGCCATTTTTCAGATTTCATCTCCAGTTTTTTTCTTCACTAAAACAATGTGATTGTGACTTTTATGAATACATTAGCTATTCCATAAGTCATCTAAACTGAAAACCCCAGAGAGTTAGCAACCCACATAAACTTGTAAGAAGATGTCACGGTGGAGTCATAATGGCGATCTTGTTCTGGAATTATCAGTCTCCTTCCTACTAGAACTGATATGCTGAGGTTACCTCAGCAACTAACTTCTCACCTGTAGCCCAGAGGGTTGGTGTAAAACTTCTGATTAACTTCATACTTAATTATTTATCTTTTTAAAACTTGTGTTCTTTTAATTCTTTTTCATTTTAAACATTCCCTTAACTCTTTTCCCCTCTAGCTCCTGCCACATCTGTTTTTTGTTTTGTTTTTTTAAAGATTTATTTATTTATTTATACAGAACTGGGGTACAAACCAGAGGTTCAGGGGCTTTGAGAGGCTTCACCAGAGACAGAGTGGGGAGCAGAACAGGCTGAGGGGCACAGTGGGCGGGTCAGGAGAGGTCTGCTGCACCATGTGGATCACCTCCTGGGAGGGGGATTGAACTTGCGCTGAAGCAGCTGAGGCCACCTTGCAACGCTGCATCCTAATCTGTTGCACCACTAGGGAGGGCCTGTTTTTTGTCTTAACTTAACTTTTGGAAAGAAAAAATATATACTCCATTTTTTGTGACATTACTTTTTTCTTCATAACACTCCCTGGACATGCTTGATAAAGAAAATACCACTAACGGCCATTTTTTAATTGAGTCAGTAACTGCTTACATTTTCTGAACCAGTTCTTCTCTTATTTCACATTGTTTCCTCCATCACTGACCTCTCCACCTTAGCCTTCTCTTTGCTTGTTTTCTGAGCATTTTCTTCTTGGGTTCTTGAATGAGGTCAGTACTATTCCAGATCAAGTCTGTCATACTCCAATTCATTTATCCACCTCTTAAAACATGACTTTTCTTGTGGTCCTGTTACTAACCTTTTCTTTTAGTCTTCAGTTTTCTCTGGGTCAGCTCTTTAACCCCATGACTTCAATATCACCTGTTGGCTGGTGACCCCGGAATTTTAACTCCAGCTCAGAGCTCCCATCTGTGGTCTAGATACACATATTTCACTCTTATCTTGGACCTCCCATGAGTTGTTCTGGCTCACCATGCCAGTAACAGAATTATTCACCTTCCCCTTGCCCACAAACGTGTCTCTTACCCTGATCATTGTGTTGAGTCCTCTATATAGCTGCACAAGCCACACATGCAGCAATGTTTGACCTTGCCTTTTAATGCCTTGTGCATCTAAACACCAGTCAGCTCTCCGTGAAGGCTTTCTACTTCTTTTAATGATTACTCATCTATTTTGGTGTACGTCCTTATTAGTTATCATCTAGACTGATTCAGTGACCTCCTGGATCTCATGAGTCTAAACTTGTCTCCTTATTGTGTTACACACATTGTTTAGAGTAGCTTAAAAAAAAAAGATTTATTTATTTATTCATACAGAACTGGGGTTTTAGGCCAGAGGTGCAAGCATGTGAAAGGATTCACTAGAGACTGAGTGAAGAGCAGAATGGGCAGATCGATGCCATACACTGCTGACGGGAGCAATCAGGCGTGACAGGAGAGGTCTGCTGCACCATGTGGGTCACCTCCAGGGCTGGGGATCAAACTCATGCTAAAGTGGCTGTGGCTAGCTTGCAGTCTGTACTTTAACCTGTTGCATCACCAGGGGAGGGCACTGAAATAGCTTTGTTTCTCCCTACTACTAAAACCCCTCATTGAATGCTCCAGGCCTTCACGGTAGCCTGAATTTTTAGCCTAAGTGTATAGGTCTTTATGCTGTGTCCCCTTAGAAACTTTCCAGTTTCTTCTTTCTCTGAGCTCTGTGGTAGTCATTCAAACCAGGCTAAAACGAGGACCATGAAATCCCTGATTGTACCTGATCCCCCTCAGGTCATGAATCTTCCCTGCTCTTCCTGAGGAGTTCTCCAATTCAGACTTTCCAGTCTACTCCACCTGTTCTCCCTGGGTTTCAGTTTTACTACTTCTCCTCTGTAGCATTCTCTATTTACCTATTTTTCCACAGTCATCCCGTTCTGAAAGTAATTCCCTTAGAGTCATTTTTCTCTCTCACTAGAATAAGAACTTTTTGGTGCCACGCAGGGACCGTGTCTATCTTTGCATCCCTTGTCTGGCTTATGATTGGAAAATGATAAATGTCTGTTGAATCAACGAGTGAATGAATGAATAAAAGATTAAACAAATGTTTTCTTTCCATTGCTTTCCTGAGGCTTTACTTGGAATCCATCTCCTCCCAAATTGAATTGTTTTATTTTATTTCAGTGTTCTGCCAATGGGTTTATGACTCAGACAGCCAACAACTCTTGCCAAGGCTTTTGTGGAACTCTGGGATCAGGAGTGAAAAATGGAGGGCCAGACACCATTGAGATGGTCAGAGGCCACCAGACCTTGGAATCCTGCCGGGGTGCCTGTCACCATCATACCCTGGATTCCTGCAGGGGTGGACATGTAGAGATGGACACCTGCAGACAGGCCTACTCTGAGTGGCATAATTTCACTCAGCCCCGACTTGGTGAAGTGAGTTTCCCTGAGTGATTTGACTGTCATTTAATTGTCCTGGTGGAGAGCAGTAGGACATAGAAATCAGCATCCACTTTGCACCTGCCTTTCCCTATTCTTCAGTGCATCCTCTTTTTCTCTGACTGGTTATTTTACCCCCTGTGCTTTACATTGTAACAATGTAAGTGTACATTATAATAAATAAATAATGTTATATTGTTTATTACATGAGGATTTTATTTCACCTGTCATAATCTTCTTTCTAAAATCTCATGAAACTGGAAGTTTCTAATCTTTCTCCTTAAAGTTACATTTCATTTTTACATGTGTATTTACAAATTCTCTTGATTGAGGAGAATATAAAAACATCTTCCTCACGATCACAGTGCTCCTCAAATCACATCTGCTTTTGTATATAATTCTAAGGTGAACATAAAAATAATTTCATCTATATGAATTGTTTTTAACACAACAGCACCGTGAAAATGTAAAGTATTTTTAGTCAAAGGAAACCAAGAATGTGAAAGAAAGGAGGGGTTCAATATGGGATTTTCTGTCTTGGCAGTATATCAAAATCCTTTGGGGAAACTTTAAAAGCTAATGTCTGTGTTTCACCTTGAAAGCTTCAGATATAATTGGTTTGACTTTCTTTGTCTTTAAAGCTTTTAGGTGATTCAACATAGAGAATCACTGGATTAAATACTCTTCCTGGCATTCACTCTTTTCTCCTTTTAGCAGACACTGCTAGTATCATTTTTTTTTTTTTTAAAGATGTATTTACTTATGCATACAGAACTAGGGTACAGGTCTGAGGGGGTTGTAAGAGGATTCACCAGAGACAGAGCAGGGAGCAGAACAGACAGACTGATGAGGGGAGCAACGGGCAAGACAGGAGAGGTCTGCTGCACCATATGGGTCACCTCCAGAGCGGGGGATCGAACTCGCACTGAAGCAGTTATGGCCAGCTTGCAGTGCTGCATTTTAACCTGTTGCGCCACCAGGGAGGGCCCAGCCAGTATCATTGTAACACAAACATCAGACCAGAACTTATGTTCTGGTCCTTTGAGGGACTAAAGTGGGCAACATTCTGTGATGTGGCTGTAATTTATTATACAGTCAAAACCTTTTTGCTTGTCACATTCAAGTGCTAATCTTTTTTCTATTTCTAGGCAGTTAATATTCATGTAAGATCAGGTTGAGCGGAACACTTAAGGACTTTTAGGAATATGTTTTCAGGTGTATAACAGGTAAGGTAAAGCTACCTGGGTTATCAAGGTAGACACTGAATGATGTAAGCCAGAGATAAGGTCTGGGTTAGAGGGAAATGGGTTAGGGAAGGAGAAGGAAGGCAAAGGAGTTGGACAAATTGTTAGATGGTCCACTAACAGAAAGTGAAGGAGAATCTGGCTAGGACTCATTTCAAAGACCTGGTCTTTGCAATGTGTGGTATGCGAATTATTATCATTTTCATTGAAATGTTTGTTCATCTTTTTTTTTTTGGTCATGTTTTAGCTATCTTGAAAACATCATTCTGTAAAATTGATAGGAAAATTTTTATGTGTTATATAACTGCATACAATAGCTGTTTCATTTAACACTTGTTCAGTATTTACTATGTGCTGGACCTTATAGGGGTGCTTTTTATCACTGTTATCTGACCACTTAACAATGACCTTGTGAGATAGTCTATAGTGCCATTTTAAACACAGGGAAAGTGAGACTTCACTTCACTCAAGGTCATATAGGTAGTTGATAACACCCTCTCACTCAAAGTTATGATTATTTGACTATCCAAGGTCAAATTCTTATCTGTTACACATATTGTCACCATTGTGGACTAACTTGACCTCTACATATAAAATCTGAGGAAAACCCTTTATTGATAATGAAAATGTACTTAAATATAGTGTGTGTGTGTGTATATATATATATGTATATGTATATATACGTATACATATATAAAGTTTATGTTCATATATATGCATATGTATATATACATACATATATATATATGCTATCTTTGTATTTCTAAGGAGGAATAGAAATGTAAAATATATTGACTTTATGGTGCGGTTGTGCTATCAATCAATCATGTGCATTTTTTATATGTAGGACTCCATTAGAGGACACACTGGTTAAAAATTAAACATAAAAGGTAAATAAAAAATAAATTTTATGTTCATATGTTTCAGTGTGTTTAAAGCAATAATACAATCCTTATTTTATTTTGCAGAAGTTGCATCTGTGTAATCAGAATGAACACCACACCCTATGTCAAGATTATGTTCTTACGTATAACTATGAAGGAAGAGGATCTCCAGCTGGTTCTGTAGGTTGCTGCAGTGAAAAACAAGAAGAAGATGGTCTTGATTTTTTAAATAATTTAGAAGCCAAATTTACACCATTAGCAGAAACATGCACAAAAAGATAATTTTAAAATGTTCCAATTAGGCATGTCTTTTCCAGACATTCTGGGGTTATTATAAAATTCAATCTCAATTTTAATATGCATATGTATGTACAGGGATTTTTCAACATTTTTAATTGTGTCATTTCCAATTTGTATTTTTATAGAAATTTGTTGCATATTTTTTCTAAGAAGTTTAAAATGTAAAAACATATTTTGCCCTTTTTACTCCTGAGTAAATAGACAACAAGCAAATCTCAAGCTATGGCATCCAAATTAAGGTCTATAAAATGTCTGCTTAGAGTTCAAAAATAGCTAGTAAGTACTCAATTGAGTATGATAGAATAATTACCTAGGGTAGAAATTCTGTTCTACATCCAGATTTAATTTACGTGTAATAGGATGATTTCAAACACTGTGGCAAATTGTGTTGAATATTTTAGCTCTAAAAAAGTCGGTAATGCTTAGTAATGCCTATGAATACTAGAGTTTTCTTTCCATTCTGCTTAAAAGCAAGATCATGAAGAGCCATCTTACCTATTTGAATGCCCTCGTAAGGTCTCAAAGATATATAGCAATAATATAAAGAACATCATGAAAGGGCAGATCAAAAAAGTGTGTTGCGTTTATGCCTTTGAAAATGTGCTTTATGGTTTACAAATGGATTACTATGAGGAATATATCTGTGTTTCCTTATTCTCAAGAAGGAAAACTATGTTCATAAGACAGAGTTATTGCCAGTATTTTAATGAAAAATACTAAAAAATTTCTACCAAGCTTGTAATCACAGTCTTAACATTTTTTCCCCCCTGAGATTCTGGACCACTGTTGATAATTTGCCAGTAACGCAAATTATGCTGAGAAAAAATTGTTTTTCTTCTCTGGAGTATTGTACATTCATAGTTTCATTTGCAAGTTTAGCACATGTGACTTTTTATTTTTTTCTCTGTAGTCATTTGCAATTAGAATGTTATCCATATGTGAATTGTGATTATGCCATATATGTTGAAGAAAGAGACTCCCAAGTTATTTGAGTAGCAACAAGAGATAAGCATGCATTTTCATTCACTACCACATTCAAATAAAATACTTCAAATAAAATTTCAAAAACACTCCTCATTAAATGTTACAAAATATTATAAAAATAAAAATAAATACAAAGAAACTTTAATCCTTGGAGCAATTTATAACATCTCCCAAGTGTAGCTTTAGTTTAGTGCTCCTCAAATTTGTTCACATAATAGACCCCCTGGAACACAATGATGTTTAAACTTAAAATAATTGATACCTAATCTTATGATAAGTCTAAATTCACATTATTATATATTCACATTATATTTTCACATTTTAAATCATAGACCACAAACATTAGGTACCACTATTTTAAGACAATTTGGGACAAGAATAACTAAGACTATGTAAAGTTAAGAAGTTTCAAACTCTTAAGAACTGGGACCTACTCGTCACCCTCGACCTACCTACCTATAAAATTTTCACAACTTTGGAGGCACAATTTTTTGAAATAACCCATGAAGTGGCAATGTTCTATATGAATACAGATTGAACTGAGGTTATATGTATACACACAAATGCATATGTATGTATATACACACATACATAAATACATTTACACACACACACATACACACACACACACACACATATATATAAACACATACACATAGGGCAATGCAACGTTTCCTATTAGGTGAAAAACAGATGATGAAGGTAATTTAATAGAGAATGGGTGGGAGATGTCTTATGATGAGAATCCAGCTTTTAACAAGAGAGAGGTTCTCAGTTGTTGTGTGCTACATAACCAAGTCCATGTACTTTTGAGCAGTTTTTTAAAATTGTCTACCACTAGTTCAACTTTTCTGGTTTCAGTGGAAATGAGAGGGGGGGGCCGTGTAGAGAAGCAGATTTGCTATGTATTCTATTTCTTCAAGTACAGATAAGGAACAAGTTGGTGGGTGGGTATCACAGCTAGAATCCCTTAGTTTGCAGTAGCAAGAGTCCAGAAATGAAATGTTTGTCTTGGAACTAATAATGAAAACTTTTTCAGACCTTTTCGGGTGGAAATATAAATTTTATCACCATTTTTTTCTCTCTTCTGTCAATTGACATCTAAAAAATAACCATGTCCACTGGGTCAGATTTGAGAAGACAACGTGAGTGGGGTAGGTAAGTCGTATTGAAGGTTTGAGGGGGTCGTGATTGTCCTAAGACCAAAGACCGACAGATTTGTGCTACTCAGACCCTGGGGGCTATAAAATGTCATTTCCCTAGTTACTGCCCTGTTTTCAAGCGGCACTGAGGTGATTCAAGGAAATGCAGCTCTCCCGACAAGCCCATCAAACCCTTATTTTAAATCTCTTTTCCAGTGTTGTCAATAACATTTATGTGGCAAATCCTCCAGACTGTCAATCCCCCTGCAGTTGAAGTTAGTTATGAGTTGGCTTTCTTCAGCAGGTTGTCAAAATAAAGGAAGAAATAGGAATTTTGAAAAAGACAAAGTAATCACTGGAGACATGGGATTGTGGGAGAAAGCGAGCTCTCTGAGTTATCTGGAGGGTCAGAGAGAAATGTGGAAACCCAGGTCTTTAGGGCAAAGAGAGGCCAAACAGGACAGGGGTGGTAGCAAAGGCAGGAATAGTTTGCTTGTCATTGTGTCCAAGCCACGGCCTTCCTTGACCCTCTTCTCTATGTTCCCTGCAACTAGATTTTTAGACTTAGACTCTGGAAAGGGTTATTTTATTTTTAAAGTCTTATTTTTACTAGAAAGCTTTTCAACATGCAGTATTCTTCTCTCCTGATATGTATATGACTACAATTGCTCAACTTCATTGTGAAAGAAAATATCATTTTAAAGCTTTCATTTTTCTAGTGAATGTTCTGATTGCTTAATGTAAATAGATGCATTCCTCTTTCTTATTTTTATAAGGAAGCAGTTAATTTTCTAACATGCAATGAAGTTTGTTCTATAATGTTCTTAACAAAGCTTTAATTTTGCTATTAATAGAAGTTACTTTACTTTGAAGAAAATGGCAGGTTAAAATAAACAAAAATTGGTTGTGTAAAGTAATATTTACAGATAGAGGATAATAAAATGATGCCACTTGATTTCTTGATTTTGATATATTTTGAAATTAAATCATTACATAGTGGTCATGTAAAATTTTTACTTAATACTGGCATGGGAACAGAGATTCTCAGTACTGTTTTTGTTTGAAAATATTTTAGAGAACTGGTGATTTTCCAATCATCAGCTTCATTAATATATAACTTGCTATTTGGAGGGGAGGTTACTATTTGGGTGGGGTACAGCTTTATAGATAATATGTATCTGTATCTATCATCTATCAATCATCTGATTTTGATTGATAAAGAAGCATTAGAAGGTGGTTATAACTGCAGATGTTCTAGAAAGAAAATATCTATCATTTCCTTTTTTAATTTCCTTTATCTTTTTTATGTTTGTTTATTTTTAACTGGGGTAATAAGGCAGTACCCCATCAAGCATTACCACCACAGTGCGCCCACCACCAACTCACTCATATTCTACCATTCTCGACCATCACGCTCCTTTCCTCTTTGGTCTTCACACTTCTCTCCCTCTTCCGCCCTAGTTGATATTTCAGTTCCGTAGCCAGCTGTAGGTTTCCTACTTGTTTGAGCAGCCCAGTCCAGGGGAAACAGGATTGATATCTAAATTTTGATATCGAAATATCTAAATTGATATCTAAATATCTAAATTTATAGCAAAAGTTTTAAATTTTAATATAATTCAAACAACTATTTCAATTTCTAGAACACTTACTCTAACCATTATGTGTTGTGGGTTTGCCTCCAGGAATGTTTAGTTTTGAATTTATTTGTGAAACAAAACATTGGACATATTGTATGTGTCCAGCATAACTGATTTGGTTAAACATTGGGTCCCAGTGGCTGAGAAGCGTGGAATCTCATATCCAACTTTGAATTTGAATCCTGGCTGTGCTACTTACTGTCTGTAAGGCTTTAGAAAGGCTGCTTATGCCCTGAATCTTAGTTTTCTTGTCTTTAAGGTCAGAATATGTTCCATGTAACACCTTTGAATATCTCCAGTAACTTCCTCTCTAGACTTCTTACATTCATGAGTGAGAATGGTCCAAGTAAAAATTCTACCCCCTGCTTGAAAAAAAAAATATATATATATATATATAAAAGGGGCAACATCATATCTTCTGAAAAACTACAGAGATGATCAAAAGAAAGTTATAAGCCATAGTTCTTATAGGAATATAAGCCACATTTTCTTCT